CCAGGCTTGAGTCCGTGTTGCTGCCTCTCCCATAGAATCTGGAAATTCCAGTTCTCATTCCCACCCATTCATCACTCAGCTGGCATGGGTTAGGGTGTAAGGAGAATGTTTATAGATAGTAGCTATGATAACTGTCTCTTGTATTCATTCATTCAACAGGTATTTGCTGGTTGTCCCTTATGTGTCAGGCACTATTTGAGATGGTAGGAATAAAAGGGTGAGTAAAATTGTATTGCCTCTACTATCTTCAGTTATCTTAAAGTCTAACAGAGGAGAGACAATTTATTATTTCCCTCTCATATAAAATAAATGTGTGAAATGTCATAGAAAAACCCATCAACTATCCTGTCCATACCTTAACAAAAAACACTGGAAATCCCTGAAAAATAGTTCTCTAAAGTCATATCCATGGCCTTGGTAACCCTGGCCTCTTCCTGTTCCTGAAAAACGAGAGAAAAAGAAAGCAAGAATTCCAAAGAGTGGAGTGTAGGAGTTGAGAAATCAACCCTTCTCCAAGTCTTTGTTCTTTCCAGTCTTGAGCTCTTTTGGAATATGGACAACAGAGAGGAGGCACAGTCTCCTATACTCAATCGATCATCAGTGGTGAATGGTAAGAGAATAAGTACCATGTGAGGCTTCTCTTTCAAACCCTCACATCATTCCTATTACAATGGCAGCAACACATTTCTAGGCAATGTGAAGGCTCGTGTTATGGAATGGAGAGAAAGAGAAATACTTCACTCTATGTTTTCCCTTACCACAGACTTTCAGAAAGGCATCTAATTTCCTAGTACCTCAGGTACATACCAGTGAAATAAGGTCAACTATACACATTTCTTACTTATCTCCCTGGGATAAAAACTGCTGCGAAGATTATAACAATGAATTAGTGTAATTTTAAGAGGGCTGGTATATGACTGTGGAAAGTAAGCAGAACTCCATGGGCTCTAAAGAAAGGATAAGCAAGCAAAGTGATGCATCTCTGACAGTGAGTAAATTGAAGAAAGAAAATCTTGGACAGAAGAAGACTTTGATCAATATTAAATACTGAATCAACATTAAAAATAGCACCCTCTCTGGCCAAGCAATGCATGCTCTACTCCCATGGTTCTTCAATTGACCGATCATTGTCTGCCTTCAAATTTACCTTCACAGGAATGTTGGTCTCTTTGAAATTGTGATGGCGATTCCACTTCTGGGTTAAAAGCTGCAGTGATGTTATAAACATGCAAATGACTGTCTGCCAAGCATATTGAGTTTCTTGGAGTCTGTTAAGCTCTCTCTAGGCCAAGCCCACATAATCTTCAGATGCATCAAAACATAAGGAAAGAACACTGAGTTTGAATACAATCTCCCTAACTTTCTGGGTATATGTGAACTTGGACCAAATATTTGACATTTCTGAACTTCAATTTTTCTAACCTGTGAAATAAGAATAATAATAGCCTTTGCAGGATTGTCTTGATAATTTAAAGAAATTTTATACTCACATAAACCATATGTCTTAAAGTAGGTGCTCAATGAATGGTTGGCATTATTAATTGTGAATTTCAGCACAATGATAAGCTACATTTTACAACCATTATTCTTACTGGTATGTAAACTAAGAAAGACTTCCTCACAAGACTATCATGATTTGTAAACATGAGCCAACCTCTCTGCAGCAATTATTTTGCTGGGAAGTAAGCAAGGTCATAAATCAATAATGACTCTTGCAACCTCAGGACTTATTGATCTTGTTGTTTATCTTCTGTAATGTTCCTGGAAAACCCAATTGTTTTGGGAAGTTACCTAAACTAGTTTACCCATTATTCTATATTAGTGTTATTAGTAACAAGTTACAAAAGCATTTGATTGATTTTCTTGGAAAAGCAATCACTTTGTAGTACAATAGAGATATGTCTCTCATAAATTTCATAGCATATTATATTTCTTAAAAATAACAAATTGGAATGAACAGCTAGAAATTTTTTTTCAATGCATGTGCTAATGATAAATTCCACTTTTCTGGGTACCACCAGTTAGGACTGTTAAAGAAAAGAACATTATAGCTCAGAAAAACTCTAAGAATGCCTGGATCCCATTCTATAAAAAATGGAATTAAAAGATAAATTTATTTTGTTGCAATTTTTAAAAAATCTGTGCACAATTTTTATATAATTGCACTTTCCACAAACTATTTGAAGTGCCCCTGATATATGTTAAAAGCATAAATTCCTGGCCACCATCTGAAAAGCTCCAAAGGCTGTACACTAAGTGCTTCTGACCAGGCCAGTTGAGCCAACACTGGAAGAGGAGATGACTGTCATAGTACTTTTGGGAGAATGACGGGGCTTGCTTGAGTTAATAATTTCCCTTCATTTCTGTTTTCTCATATTTTATATAGGGATGTCAATATCACCACAGACTACATCAAAGGGTTTTTATGAGAATCATAAAAGGTTTAATGTTTAAATCTTTATATTTTATGCAAGCATTTGAAATCTATCCTCAAGATGCTAACAAACCCCTTAGGATTTCAATGCTTCTATGAGGTGACATTAATTCACAGCTTCACAAATCCTTATGGCAATCTTCCCATGCCACCTTTTCAAAAATCACCATGGCCTACACTCATTAATCAGAAACTCCCAGTCTACCTTTTCTGTTACTGTTTCCCTGGAAATGAGCTACCATATTTGTATAACTAAGAAATATTGAAGTGTGTAAAAACGTGTGCCTGTGCTTTAAAGAAAAAGAAGAATCTAGTCCATTACCAGGTTGCTAGTAAATATTAACCATTTCTATCTGGCTTATTTTCTTGGCTAGATTAATATTTTGTCATTAGCAAATGTGCCTGCAAACTTATTGAGACATGAGTAAAAATAACAAAAATTGTTTTCACTATATTAGCAACCACTATAATATTAATAACTTTTTTATTCAATATATGTCTGGGTATTTTTGCTAGAAGCAGGAATTTGCATTAATAGAATAAGAGTTCTGTAAAATGAAGGGGATATATACAATATTAATCAAACCAAGAAAATGTACTTGGTCTTCATAGTTATTACCTAATAGGAATCAGGCACTAAGAATGATTTTTCCTTTAACAGAAAATTATTATTAATAAAAATATTATAAGGAAAACACTCAAATATTTCACATGCTTTATTTCTTTGAAATCGCATGATACCCTTCTGGGGTAAGTATGATTATCATCATGATGTTACAAATGAGGCCACTAAGACACAGAAAAGTTAGAGCTCACAGTTAGTCCTACAGTTAGTAAATGGCAAAGCCAAGCTATTTATTCATCTCCATTCAACTCTCAAAGCTAGATTCTTAATCGTGACCATTTATTAATTCTTAACCAAAAAACAAACAGAAATTTAATAGTGCGTATTTTTGCTATTAAGGTCATATATCTTCATTTATTTATGCTGTCTGCCCTGTTTTCTTTAAAACCTTGAGAAATTGGTAAACATAGAACTACTAACAGCTGCTTTAGGCTAAAACTTTTCTTTACTTAAAAAGCCTTTGCTAACCATGGTTAATATTGGACAAGTATATGGATATGTGCATAACCCAAATATAAATTTGTAGTTATGATGATGTGAAAACCAAAAAAAAATCTGATTTTGACATCTGATAACTTTGTTTGAAAGCCTTCCTTTCTTCTGGGTCTTTCTAGCTTCAATAGCTGTCCTGGGAACTGCTAGGTGTTAGTAGGTGGTGAAGGACACTGAGTTTATGTTCAAATTTGATTGAAGAACCTTTTCAAGAGATCACAAGATGACTTTCACCAGGATTTATGCTTCAGTGTTAATGCATGTTAGATTCTCTGGAAGCAGAGCTGAGATCAAAGTTGTCATGAAAGATATTTATTATGGAGAGTGAGAAGCAGGGTTAGGCCAAGGAAGAAACTGAACAGCAAAACAGGCCTGACAAAGCCCTGTCAGACTCCACAGGGCCCTGTGGATGCTATAGGGTTCATCAAGGGTTCAGCTTTAGCAAATAAAATGCAAGACACCAAGTTAAATTGAACTTCAGGTAAATAACAAATAACTTTTTAATGTGATTATGCCCCACTGCAATATCAATCCCCTGCAATATTTTGTCTGGCAATCCTACCCCTATTGGGCCAAATTGCCTCAATCTTTACATACCAATTTTGATAAGTCATCAGATGAAGGCCAGCCCAGGATTGGTACAGTCTTGAGAGAGGTGGCTCTCTGAAGCAGAGGCCAATGATGAAGGAGCTGAGAGTTGGACAACAGATGCTTCCAAGAAGGGAGAACTGGAAGATTTATTTTTTCTAGTTCTTCTGTTCACCACAAATTCATTGCCAAGGGATGTCTGGACGAGGTAACCAATGGCTTGAAAACAAGGTTTTCTGTTTGCTTATTTCTTTTTACGAGAGAGAGCGAGAGCGAGAGAGAGAGAGAGAGAATTCCCATCCACTAGTTCACTCCACAAATGCCCGCAACAGCCAGGACTGGATTGGGAACCAGGAACTCCATCTGTTCTCCCACATGGGTGGCAGGGACTCAAGTACTTGAGCCATCATCTGCTGCCTCTCAGAGTACATTTTCAGGAAGCTGGAATTGAAAGCAGAGTCAGGACTCAAACCTAGGCCCTCTGATATGCAAAGAGGGCATCCTATGTGGTGTCTTAAACACTAGGTTTAATGCCCACTATCCCCAAAACAAGAGTTTTAGCAAAGGGACACACTACTCTGTTTAGTGGTAGACTTGCATTGGTCCTGCAAAGGAATAAAGAGTAAGAAAGCTCTTTTCAGTCAAATGTGCAAGCAGTTAGGCTGAGCACATCTGTGGAAGAAATGTGACAATTGAGATCTCACCAGGGCCAACGTTGTGGATGTATGACCAGAGTAGTCACACAGGGCACCAGGCCCAGAAGGGTCTTTCTCTTGGTTTAATGCTCTGGGGTCGCTATGTTGAAATCTTGGTAAGTTTATCTCTTTTCCTTTTTTAGTAAAATCTGATGAGACACTGAAACTTGCCTGTGAGCAGAGGAGATGCACGTCCACCATTCTTTGTGTTTCATACATAATGATCTTGATCCTCCTTGAGCACAGACTTCCAGTAGACCTACTATGAGGGAGAGTTCAGTGAGACTCAGAGAGAACACGAGGTAAGCAGACTGCATTTATGATTCATAAGCTGGAATACTGACAGAACACAGAGGCCATATTTTCTATTTGAATTAGAACTTTCTTTGAATTGAGAAGGCAGGCAATGGCAGAAATAGAAATGACCACTGAAATCTACTTTGCCCTTCCTTATTCATGTTATAACCTGGTATTAGCCAAACATTTTTGCTGGAAATGGTAACACAGAAGCAAAAGGTAATGAAGAGTGATCCATAATTATTTTTTCCTCTCATGTCTGGCCTTCCTAACCCATCAGTAAGCTGAAGGCAGTGTTGGTAGAATGTGTGCATCAAGAAGTGAAATGAAAACAACTGAGTTAGTGCTGACAGTGTTTCCACTGTTCTGGTAATGAAATACAAATCCTTGTATAAGCTAGGAAATACAAATTGTAAGGTCTCACTGATTCCACATATGAGTCATGTTCTTATATTTGCTTTTCAAATACACATTGTGGTGTGGGTGTTGTGATGCAGTGTGTTAATCACCACTTCAGATACCTGTATTCCATATCAGAGTGCCCACAATGAAGACCCACTTCTACTTCTGATCCAACTTCCTGCTCATGCACCTGGCAGGCATCAGATAATGGCTCATGTATTTGTGTCCCTGCCACCCATGTAGCATATGTGGATGGAGTTTCAGGCTCCTGGTTTCATTCTGGCCCAGCTCTAGCTGATGTTTGGAGAGTGAATTAGCAAATAAAACATAGCTCTCTCTCTGCATTACTCTGCCTTTCAAATGAATTGTAAAAACTTAAAAAAATCCCAATGAAAGGATCAGCTTCAAACAGATAGACTCTAGAAGAAAGTAAGTCATTAACATGGATTAGTTGTTCTTTTTCAGAGGGAGAAAGAGAGGGAAAGAAAACAGGTAAAGAGTACACAGGCACTTGAAATCTATGTTTTGTTAAAACATACAAAAGTATGATGAAAGATTAAATGTCAGACTATGAGCATGGGAGCATAAAAGTTACCCTTTGCTTTTCTGTACTTTTAAATTTCAGTCGGCAAGAAGGGGACCTGTGCTGTGGTTGAGCAGATCAAGCTGCCACTTCTGATGCTGGCATCAAATATGACAGCACTTGCTTGAGTCCCAGTCGTTCTGCTTGCCATTCAGCTTCCTGCTAAGGTACTGTGGGACAGCAACGGAAGATGGCTCAAGTCCTTGGGCCCCGGTCACCCAAGTGGGAGACCCAGATGGAATTCCTTCTCTTGGCTTCAGCCTGGTCCGGCCCCTGGACGATGAGGCCGTTTGTGGAGTGAACCAGTGGATAGAAAAGCTCTTTCTCTGTCTGTCTCTGCCTCTCTTTCTGTAGCTCTGGCTTTCAAATAAATAAATAAGTCTTTCTAAAATAAAGGCAAGAAAGGAAATGGGAATTGTGGCATAGCCTGTTAAATATGCTTGCATCCCATGTCAGAGCACCTGGAATCAAGTTTCATTTCTGCTTCCACTCAACTTTCCTGCTAATGTGCACCCTAGGCAGCAGATGATGGCCTAAGTACTTGAGTCCTTGCCACCCAAGTGGTAGACTCCGTTGGAGTTCCTGCTTCTGTTGCAAACATTTGGGGAGTGAACCAGTAGTTGGCAGAGCTCTCACCTGCTCTCTTTTTTAATCTCTCTTCTGTTGCTCTGCCTTTCAAATAAAAAATAAATAAGTAAACACTTCTGTTAAACAAACATTGCATGATATAAAAGTGAATAGTAGCTGGCGCCGTGGCTCACTAGACTAATCCTCCGCCCTGCGCCGCCGGCACAGCGTGTTCTAGTCCTGGTCGGGGCGCCGGATTCTGTCCCTGTTGCCCCTCTTCCAGGCCAGCTCTCTGCTGTGGCCAGGGAGTGCAGTGGAGGATGGCCCAAGTGCTTGGGCCCTGCACCCACATGGGAGACCAGGATAAGCTCCTGGCTCCTGCCTTCGGATCAGTACGGTGCGCTGGCCGCAGCACGCCGGCCGCGGCGGCCATTGGAGGGTGAACCAATGGCAAAGGAAGACCTTTCTCTCTGTTTCTCTCTCTCACTGTCCACTCTGCCTTAAAAAAAAGTGAATAGTAAAATTCATGCCAATATAGTTCAAAATTTTAATTTTTCTTTGCTTAGAACAAATTAAATGGCTGACAAAACAACTTTACCTGTTTGTAGTTTTGTAGACATTTGTTGAGAAGAGGCTCTGCATTTTCATTTTGCTCTGGGCCTTGCAAATTATGCAGCCAGCCTTAGGTGAGAAGAATGGGATTAGCAACAAAACAAAACAAAACAAAAAAAGAGTGGAGTGGGACATGTATGCTCAGAACAGTTTTAGGAGAGAATACTAATCTTCCAGGACCATGACTGTCAATCGATGGACTTGAGCTACTTTTTTTTTTTTTTTGACAGGTAGAGATAGACAGTGAGAGAGAGAGACAGAGAGAAAAGTATTCCTTTTTCCATTGGTTCACCCCCCAAATGGCCGCTATGGCCGGCGCTGCGCTGATCTGAAGCTAGGAGCCAGGTGCTTCTCCTGGTCTCCCATGCGGGTGCAGGGCCCAAGCACTTGGGCCATCCTCCACTGCCTTCCTGGGTCACAGCAGAGAGCTGGACTGGAAGAGGAGCAACCGGGACTAAAACCCAGGGTGCCAGTGCCGCAGGCAGAGGATTAGCCTAGTGAGCCATGGTGCCTGCAGACGTGAGCTACTTTTAACAATCTGTATTTTATATCATGTGAGCTAACTGGCCAGCACAGACTTTCCCTCCTCTTTTTGTTATCCATTTTTCAAATATTCAGTGTACCTGTTCTGGATACAGAGGACATAGGTGGACTACAGAGACAGTCAGTATCAGCTACCCTCAAGGAGCTTGTATCTGAACGACACTTTTCTGATTGTGTCTAGATCCTAATATATACCTACATCACAGTACTTGTGCATCTACATACATATGCAAACACATACACCTGGCATTTTTCCTTCCTATTATTTAAACTCTACTTTTCCCCCTTTCTTTTAGATCCCAATCACTTCTGGAATGGTGATAATGATGATAATGATAATAGTAAACATTAGTCTAAGCATTTAACATATAATAATTTGGTTAATCTTCACAGTAGTCCTGTGAGATATTTTTATCTCTATATTAAAAATGAAGGAATTGAAGCATATAGTGGTTGAGTAATGTGCCCCAAATCAAACATCTAGAAAGAGAATGAGCCAGGATTTGAACCAAGGTGGTCCCCACTGTGCTGTAACCTTGAGTAGTGGTCTTCAAATTCATGTAAATGTACTATGGCATAGGGGATGTACTGAAAATTCCAGCAAAGTTTTTGAGGATTAATTTCTAGATATTTAGCTTCACCGAGTGCTTTTTCCTGAAGGTGGTCTGCCTAGAAGAAACTTGAAATTGAGGCTGGTTCCCTTTCTAGTCTTCTTTTTGCAATAGCACATCTCCCTTTATAGAGTGACAATCAAAGGGTGGCTTAAAGTGTTGATAACAGTGTTGAGAAAGTAACTGACTTTTAAGACTGAGTGACAATATCTTCTACAATACGAGTTTTTTAATTCTTTGTAATCAATAAAATTGAAGGGGAACCTAAAGAGATTACCAGCTGAAGTACTGTTAAAAATAATTTTTGATGATGCAACACAGAATTCTAAAAATTGAACGACAATTTTATGACAAAGTTCCTTCCATTCCCAGCATCTTAAGAGGGAAGTTTTCTTGGTATTTATGCTTATTGAAACAGAACAGAGAAAGCGAATTTATGTGAAATCTTGTTTCATTCTAAGGATAAGTACCATTCATTCATTGATACGTAACCAATTGTATAAAAGTAATGCCATCCATCTCATTAAGAGGTGCATTTCCATTAAGATTGGACTTTTATGTTTAACAATTATATATCAGAATTGTCATTCTGATCATTTTTCTGGAAATAATGGTAATAACAATTCAATATTGGAGGAAATTTTAACATGTAATATTGTATGATCAAAGGAAATTTTTAAAAATGATATTTCAATTTAAGTACAAGCATTTATTGTACAGAAGAAAAGTAGGTTGATTAGTAAATGAGTTTGAATGGCAAACTATGAAATACTGTAAAATTTCTGACAGTTAAAGAGGATCTTGTTCACATATGTTTTTATAAATAGATGATGATGAGTAGCACCATAGCAACAGAGCCCTTCATGTATCTTAAGAATGATGTAGCAATTTGTTTAAAAATGTCAAAACTTTGGTGAGCATTTGGCCTAGTGGTTAAGATGCTGGTTAAGGTACCCATGTCTCATATCAGAGTTCCTGGCTTTGATATTCAGCTCTTGTTCCTGACTCCAGCTTCCTGCCCATGTAGACCCATGTAGACCCATGTAGACCCACTGCTGCCATGTAGGGGGGCAGCAGTGATGGCTCAAGAAATTTGGTTCCTGTCACCCACATGGGAGACCTGGATTGTGTTCCTGGATCCCTGATCTGGCTCTGCCCAGCCCTACCACTGTGGGAACTAGGATATTAACCAGTAGATGGAAGCTCTGTTTCTCTCAAATTAAAAAAAAAAGTTAAAACATATCCATTGCACTTATTTAACTTTATAATGAAACAATTTAAAGGTCAACTTTAGAAATATGTGAAGGAGTATTTAGTTTAAACAATTTTTTTGTAGGTATGTGAGTACAAACATAAGAGTTTGAACACCTGAAGACCTGGAGGAATTGTCTTGTAACCTAAGTATATTATGTTCTATTAATCTCCATTACACATCCCTGCAGCTGCTTTTCATGCCTAGAACATCCTTTGAAGTTGATGAAAGCCTTGTGCCAAGAAGGAACGAAGTGTTAGAAAAAGGGATGATGGAAACCCATCAACTGTAGTGTCTCCAAAGGGGCGGTTTAAATGAGTAATCAATTTCACTCTTCTCTTCATCATGTTCAGAGAACTTTTGGCCTGATTACTCATTCAATTTCAAAAAGGCAT